AGCACGAGAAGCTTTGTGGGCTAGGAGAGCAGGATCGAATAAAGCTTAAGGAGGTCGTTGCCAGAGCTGCTGGCTTCTATTGATGTAGTAGCAATCGATTGTCATAACTGAGAATACTTAAATACCAGTGATTATAAGTGGCTTTCTCTTAATATTTGAAAAATAAACTCCTCTATCCGATGTGAACTTCAAAATGGGGTATTGATCACGCCGGTAGAGATCTCTGGACAGTAAACTGGAGTCGGCGCTCGTAATAAAATTTAGAAATTAGCCTGAAGTCAACAAGGTGCTAAACAACAAAGATGGCGTCAAGAAATGGTATTCCTCTGTTGCCACACAACTACCATAATCTTTGCTTCAAGACCAGAGAATCTTTGTGGTTTTCACTTGCCGCTGTCGGGTTTTATGACGGTTGAAATGCGATCGGTCTGAAATTCTTCACCCCATACACCCCTACGTTGCTGACTCAGAGGGGTCGTCCAGATTGGGCTTGTGAGTGGTTGCGGCAAAGTCTTTATGCGCCATATCAACCGCCAAGATCAAAAGAAGCGAGGCTTTTCCCGCCTTCAAACGGTCGAGAATGGATGATAAATGCATCCGTTAGTCGATGCGAGTGTAAAGAAGCACACTCTAAGTTCCTACATCGGGTGGATTTAAGCTTCATCTCCGCTGGCTGTCAGCAATGCCACCGGAAGAACTACCTACAGTCGGTCTCGGTTTGACAGAAGCTTCAAGCACGGACCGGCATCCGGCAACCGGCCGCTACAGGGGGTTATTTCAGAAGCTTGCATCCGTACTCCATTATAGCCGGCCTTTTTCCTCGTGGGGAAACAGGAGAAAGATTTAGGCGCAAATCTCGGCCGTTCGCCGAAGACATGCCGCTTCGATCCTTGGCGACTGGCAACCGCGCGGTCAGTTGTAGTCAGATCTCCAGACGGTAGTCTCCATGCCTACCTTGGAACCTGTAAACCTTGTCAATTCTAAAGCAGCAATGGTAATTAAAAACTTAGACAGCAGCTTCCGAATCGCGTCTGATGGACTGCATGTTGGTACGCTCCTTTAGCTCGGTCTCTCCGTCCCCAATGCCTTTACCTGGTACAAGAATCGCGATAGATCACTGATCTTTGCGGCTGCGAGTCTTTGACACAACCTCAGAGTAGCGAGGCCGGCAATGAGGCCCTGGAAGACATATTGATAATAATGAGGAATACGTCATCCTAGGTGACGATAGCATTGGCGGCCTATAGCTGACTTCGGTATATCGCCCGGCTTGGTGCGCTAGTCTTGCAACTTCGGACCAGTTGGTGACGCGGTCTGTTAGGGTTACATCGCGGCCATTGTTCAATCGTCAATGTTGCCAATGCTCGTTTCTTTTTTTCTCAAAAAAAATTCCCCGCTAGAGTGGAGCTGATGTCGGATGAACTATGAATTTACTGCTAGCTATGTAGTTGTGCTTCATGAAACAGGTTGCCGAAATGGAAATGTGATATTTTTTCTTGCACGTAAGGTAAGCAATGGTGAGGTCTAAACTTTCCTAAAGCACCTCGCGTACGCTTTAACTCTGCTATCAAGAATGGCTCGGGACTGTTAACCTATTAAAATCTTACAAAAGCATAGGTCAGCATAGTATGTAGTAAGGAGGAGGAAAGGGGGCGGAAGGGGTGAGCCTGGCAGGGGCGGAGCGGGGCGGATATGGGTCCGTGTTTGTCATGAAATGCGCGTATCCGCGGGGATGCCGTTCACAGCATGGACGAGGTAAGTAGGTCTTGAAAAGGCCTCCAGTGATTATTGAGTTGTAAAGTAAGAGTAATAGCGATGTTCGTGTGGCAACTTCCCTTTGGAGAAACGCTCCTATCTAAGACGGAGCCTGATCATTGCCCTGGATTGGAAAATGCTAGATCTTGATTACTGATATCCCCGAAAAAAACATTGTGTCCAGCGATATCCGTACTTTGTAGGAACATCGATGCCCCTGCATGTTCTTCGTGGAGACCACGGATATACTTAGTTAGAGTACGGCCCGATCATGGCCCACTACAAAAGGTGTGCTTGCATGCCTTCGGATGTACCCGTGGCCGCGGGAGAGGATCTCAGGCACCGCCTCCACGAAGAAAAGCTTAAAAGCCAAGAGTCGAAACGGAGTAGGATATGACTCGCTCTACGTGCTCGAAGAACAGATATCGGAGGGATGACAAAGCTGACCGTGAAGATTAGATTAAGTTGTTCAGGGGTGAGGTAGTTATCACAACAGAGAATTGACCAGCGGACGGAGTGCGGCAAGTGCCACAGATTGCAACATCTTGAACCCACTCCGAGAACGCAATCTCCGCCACGGTGGCGGAGTACGTTCTTATTTTTAATGGTATGCCCGGACGTTAGCCGCGGTCAGTTTGACATCTTATGGTTATTGCGGCATGTTGACCAACCACCAGGTCACCTACCTACCTACATCAGAACTGCATGAGGGTTCCAATGTGTAAAGTAGACAAGGTTGCTCTAGTAGCAGTCCACACTTTCTCAACCAACATGACGAACCACATGTTGATTTCACCAGGAACATTGGGCCCACAACCTTGTGCTTGCCATATCGATCTAAACCTAAGCCGCACTAGTCTATACTCAGCATCGGACTACGCGTCCTAGACTTTAGATCAGGACAGCGACTCGTGTAATGTAGCATTCTAAGTGATGGAATAACATCCCCAGAAGGCCTTATCTCTGTCCCCTAGTGGAATGCAGCTAGAAGCGCGGGTAAGGAGATGTGCCTCGGTGGGGGTAATGGATGCTCTACCTTATGCAGCACGGGGGTCTCGGTCGGCCTTAACCGACTTGGCGTATTGCGCCATGCTCAGGTACGCAACCACAGCAAGTTCGAATGGAGGCTGACTGCCGGGCAGCTTATTCTTGGCCAGAAATGATCCAGGTAAACTGAATGCCTCCATAAAGTCTGTATACTAGGTAGAATCTGGTCTAGATAAATAGATGTTCATCTGTCCCAAGAAGTGGATGTCTCTTTTCCGGGCAAGTTCACAGTCTTTACTACGATTGCCACTAAGTAATTATCACTCGCTCTTTTACTACAAGTCATTCTCTACAGTCACTCTTTTTTATCTCTTTAAAGTTAGAAGATATTCGCCCACTAGCAAAGATGCCCTCCCTCTTGTCCACAGCCATCACCATTCTGGCTGCCTCTCAGGGGGTTCTAGCAGCCTGCACTAATCCTTCCGTCCGCAAATCTTGGTTGGTGCCGCCCTCTTCACCTGAGAGAACGAGGCTATGGAGAGGAAGTTCGCTAACACGAATCCAACAGGTCCGCCCTGACTGACGATGAGAAGACCTCGTACATTAGCGCGACCCTTTGCTTGATGGACCCTGCCCAGGCTCCTGCCAAGACCGGGTATGCTGGCTCCACGACTCGCTGGGAAGAACTCCAGGCTGCCCACGTCTCTCAGGCTCAGTTTGTTCACTCTGTCGTAAGTGTTAAGGCCCATTAAGCGTCGAGTGAATTAGGCGAGTACACGATCAAAAACGAAGGCTAATGCAGAATTTGTTGTTTAGGGCGCCTTCTTCCCTTGGCACCGTTGGTACATGACAGTCCAGGAGAAGCTCCTCCGCGATGAGTGCGGCTACACTGGCCCCATGCCGTAAGTGACTCATTACAAGCCACTTCATCCCTTTTGCATTAAAGGCTCTTCTATGGGCTTGACATAGATGCATCATAACCATACCTGGGTGATACTGTTACTAACGAGTGGGCCACATACAGATACTGGGACGAACAGGCTGAGCAAGCCGTCCTGCCCTTGGAGAACGCGAGCATCCTGAACGCCAGCGCCACGGCCGGCTTTGGCTCCGCTTCCCTTGACGCGAACGGCTGCGTTGTTGATGGACCCTACACCAATGTCAGACTGACTCTCGACACCGAGCTCAACCGTGTTGCCCCTGTCTGCCTGAGCCGTGACTTCAAGCAGAAGGAGTACGATCAGGTCGCTCAGAAGATTATCGATGCATGCATGGCTCTGGAGGACTATGTGAACCTGAACAACTGCTTGGGTGCCTCCCCTCACACTGGTGGCCACTACGCCATCGGCGGTACTGTAAGCAACTGCTCCATTCTCACAATGCGCACCTTTTCTGCCATGAGACTAATGGCATCCCTCAGATGGACGACCCCTCGCTCTCACCCGGCGACCCGCTCTTTTTCCTCCACCACACCAACCTGGACCGTCTCTGGTGGCAGTGGCAGGCTCAGAACGAGTCCCGTCTGACTGATATTGGCGGTAATAACGTCGCTCAGGGATTCTTCTGGTCTAGCGTGCAGCCCTCCTCCCTCGGTGTCAACGCATTCCTGCCCTACTTCAATGACAATGGCAATGAGACCACGCTCAACCATGTCATGTGGATGGCTGGTATTGCCGAGAACATCACCATTGCTGAGGTTATGGACATCAAGAGCGATGCCATCTGCATCGAGTACCAGTGAGATTACACGTAGTGAGGTCTGTATCGAGAGCAACTTGTCTTAGCTTCTCGTTTGGAGTTAGACTCTAATTAGACAGGTTCTATGGAGGTGTGGATGAGAGAATTGCGATAGTTTCCGCTTTGGGCTGAGCGAAAATTGCATCTACATTTAATATGGGCGGATGGATATTATATAGACTGCGTTGCTTCAATGGAAAATTCTTATACCCAATTCCCATGCCAGACTATTATTACTGCTGAACTTTCGTTCTTTGATCGGTTGATCCTTAGAGGCTTTCGCCTGCTTTCGACCCTTGCGAGAGGAAAGAATCCAAGAATATTCATGGCGAGTGTCTCATGGCGGACATCCGTACCATGAGATGTTCCCCATGTCATAAACGCTGTACGTAACGATAAGGTATTATAAGAGTGATCAAGTACAATGGAGACAGCATTCCGGAATTCCCAAGCTTAAGTGTGATTATGCGATTGTTTGAGGCAGATCCTAGATAATAACCAACAATGACAGAACTTGCTTCTCAAGTCTTGTTGACATGAACGATAATCTTTCCCGTTGTACGTCCTTCCCTAAGCTTCGCATATGCTCTTGGTGCGTCGCGCCACTCAAATTTTTCATCAATCAACACTCGTACTTTTCCCTCTACTATCAACCTGCTAATTGAGCTCAGATCCTCTTGGCTCGGCGTTACCCTCACGGATTGAAACTTCCTCTTACCACTACTGAAGAAACCTGGCAACAGGCTTCTCCGCAACATACCTACCATCGACTTTGACATACCAACCTGCACGAACACTCCCTCTGACTTGAGGAAATGCGAGCAGCTTTCGTACAAGCCCTCTGTGCTGCCAACATTGTCTACAGCGATATCGAAAACACTCCCCTTTCTTTTGAGTTCGGTAACAACGTTGAGTTTGCGGTAGTCGATAACTTCATCAGCCCCGAGACGTTTGCAAAGATCGACCTTTGCCGTCGAACAAGATGCGACCACATAGGCACCGGCAGCCTTTGCGAACTGGATAGTGAAGGAACCAACACCGCCACTTCCACCGTTGATAAAGACTTTAGACCCTGGCTTCAACGACTCTTTTGGAAGAGATTGAAACGCCGTCAACCCAGCGGTGCCTATAGCAGCTGCATCGTCGTGGTCGACGCCCATAGGGAGCGGCGCAATGTTGGGGGAGGGAGCGACGAGGAGCTGACCCAGACTACCAAACCGCGGGAGCTTGGTCCCGATGCTCAAGGCCCCGAAGACAACCTGACCCTCGGAGAATCCGTCGGCACCGTTTTTGGAACGGATTCGGCCACAAAAGTCTGAGCCTGGACTGGTGTCTCCGGCTGGAGCATGAACTTGCCAAAGACTGGGATCTCGGGCAGCTTGTACTCAACGGGGTTGATGCCCGCTGAGATGACTTCGATGAGGACATGGTCTTTGGAGAGCGATGATGCATCTGGTGGGATCGCGTTTTCGTTGAGAGTGAGGGAGTTTTCTAGTGTCTCCTTGATGGAGCTGTATTGCCAAGCTTGCATCTTCACTGGCAGAATCGAAGGGAGGTGTGCGGCGGAAGTTGTGCGTTATAACTTGGTTTCAAGTCAGATAACCCTGCAGGGAACGTAAAAAGGTAATGCTTGAGTGAAAGTCTTAACAGAAGATTGAAGATCGTCAACCAGCCTCAAGTGCCAAGTATTAATTCATATATCATTGCAACTGATCTCGATACGGATGCTGTGAGCGTCAAAGGAAGTCCGCACCTAGTCCGTCGGATTACAGGGGTCATTTAAAGTTATCTCGGGTTCGGATTGACCCCTGGTTGGAAAGCTTGTTTGCAGGGGCCTCACACCCTCTGTGCCTGAACCACTAGACGAAATAGAATTGGGCATCTTTTGGTCTTCATGGACAACCGGCGGAGTTTTGAGAAAAGAGGAATGCGATTGATAGCTAGCTAAGAAACTGCCAACTTCCCCCGGCGAGTCTCCGACGAAGCGAGATCTACTTACTAATACCCCTGAAGGGAGGCTAAACCTGGTCAACACGCTTACTCCGACTTTATCTCCTCTACCAGCTAAGTGTGTTGGGGTGAAGAACCTCCATGTTATCAACGATGCCAAAGTCGCGAATGCCACCACCGGGCGTGTAGACACTTCCATTGTACGCAACAGCCGCCATGCCGTGACGAGGGGTGTTCATCGGCTGAAGCTTCTCCCAGGAGTTGGTGCGCGTGTCGTACACCTCCGTTTCGTTAAACACGAAACCAGCCTCCGGATCCAGATTTCCTTCGCCCCCAAAGGTGTAGATTCGTTGCCTGACAATAGCCACTGAGACACCACCTCGAGGGGTAGGCATTCGCGCTCGCTCGCTCCACTTGAGCGTCTTGAGATCGAGGACGTAAACTGTGTCGCGGACTGCCGTCTGGCTACGGAAACGGCCGCCGACGACGTAAAAGTTGTTTCCGATGACGCCACCCCCGGCGTGCTCGCGGCCTTCAGGTAGACTAGGTAATGGCTCCCATTCCTTTGTGATAAGATTGTAAGACGAGACAGTATCGACAGTCTCTTGGAGCCCATCTTCTCCGAGCTCGAGCAGACTGATGCCGCCGGCAACAATAATCCTATCGCCAGTGACACCAAGGATGGAACTGCCCCTCTCCGTGCCATTGGGCATGGGAGGGAGCTCAGTCCACGTGTTGGTCGCAGGATCATACTCGTAGCAGTTTGGAAGCGCGCGGAAGGCCGCACCGCCGGAGAGTCCGCCGAGAATGTAGATCTTGCCGTTGGCCGCAGCGGCATTGGCGTGGTTCATAGGGATCGGGAGGGGCGCGACGAAGGACCACTCGTCTTTGGGAACGTTGTACACCTCCACAGAGTCAATTGTGGAGACACCAGTCGGCTGGCTTGCGTCGGGTTCGATGCCGGCAACAACGTAGATACTATCGCCGAGAGCCACGGCGGCGTGCTCCTGGCGAGGACCGCCGACCAAGGGTTTGAGTACTTCCCACGTCTCGGTGGTTGCTAAGGTGCACTTGGAGGGCGCAGGGGCGGCAGCTGACTGTCCACTGAGGAGTGGCAGCAGAGCGAGACAAGAGGCGAGGTGCTTTGTCAACATGATGAAGTGATAAGGTAGAGATAGGTTCAATGTGGATAATTAAAATGTGATGTCTTCAAGTCAAGATGTCTGATGTGATGACGGTTTTGAAGAATGATCGAGATTAGCTCTCTGGCTTTATACAAATTCGTCACCCCTTCCCCTGGGTATCAACATCATGAAATCCAACTCATTTTCTCATCATATGGTCGTAACGAGCGCCAAGGTGCTCCATCAGGAGTGAATGGCTGTCTTCAGCAGCACAGCCTCAAGGAACTACAGCAGACATGGTATTATTGAGAGCGAAAAGGCTGGACTCCAAGCAAGATGATCAAATTACTGTGGTCTCGGGAACTTTGAACTGTCCGTGTGGCCGTAATGGAAGCCATGCGCAAAGAAGACTGCTGTCGTAGATGACATCTTGATGTAAGGTAAACCGCCTTTTGTTTCGGGTTCGGATTGATACTGATTCTTGGCAACGGAGCAATTTGTAAGTCTCCATGAATTGCCTCTCACGCCAGATTGCGCACGATGATTCCTATGTCTCTTGGTCTCTTAAGTCTAGTACTATCCATTTTCGACATTTGTAATCATACCGTGTCTTGATTTAGGCAACCAGCGGGGTACGAGGAACAAGGTACGTAAAGCTTCTATTTGAGAATATAGATGGCTATCAAGGTCATGGTAGGAAATGAAATCAGCTGATATACCTAAATCGAAGAATGACCACGGGTTGATTCGGTTCTCCGCCTCATTTAACACTCGTCAGAGGGATATCTCCGTTTTGACTAGCTAGCCTTGGGTTAACATAGTCTTCTGGCCACTTTATCTCATTGCGCCAACTTGGCGGAAGAGATCTAGTTATTGCGGCAAGCAGGTGACGTCCCCACGCTTTCATGAACCAAAATTGAGATCCCGCTGCATGAAGGACGGTACAATAATGCGCAAGAATGACTAAAGACGCAGGGTCTCTGACAACAAGTAAGGCCATGAAGTTTTCACGCAAAACCATGGGCCAAGACACGGCAACGTTCAACTCGGGAGTGATAGAAGATGCCCGTTCAATGCTATCCCGGAAGCCCGAGATTGTCTCGCTGATGACATTCTTAATCTCCGGACTAACGTTTTGCTGATCCAATCCACACTCGATTCGCGAGATGTTCTCTTGCAGCAATGTTAGTAACTCGTTGCCGCCTAGATACGGATTGCATTGCATGAAGTCCTTCAATATGCCATGTCGCACATTCTCCCTAGCCGAGGCCATGACACTGCTGACACCGCGGATGAGGGTAAAGACCTCCAAGATGTCATCAACTTCTAGTTGCCGGAAGGGACTATGAAGCGTTGGACCAGAGGCAGCGAAGGCGCCAATAAAGAGTAATGACGAAGCAGCGAAGAGAGCGTCGCAGTTCGCAGGCGTGACGTGCGAAATCTCAGCCTGAACTCCACGAATTGCATGGTGTTGGTGCTGTAACGCCAAAGATAGTTTCTCCTGACGCTGTTGTTGTTGCTGCATATGAGCTCGCGTGAAGAAAGATCCAAGTGGTTCCATGGTTGCGAGGTGAAAGGCGGAGACTGCGAGGATCTGATGCATGAGGTAGGGCGAGTCCGCTGCCACTGCCGGAACCTTATCGCGCCAGGTGTGAAGGTTGGCACCGGGTAAGGTTGCGGAGGTTACTGAGGTGAAGTGGTTCATCAAGCCGAGATCCATCATCCAGGGGTAGGCGTTTTCGGTCACGGGTCCGACGGGGAAGTCTGCCCCTAAAGAGGGCGGGGGTGTTTTCGATGAGGCTCCTCCTGGTGGGGTGCTCTTGGATGAGATGGTCGACGAGTCGTCTCCGTGGCCATCTAGAGCAGAGGCGCGGATTTGCGAGCCATCTTGAATTGAAGATGGCGCCAGGCTACACTCGATCTGTAGTCTGACGCATGCGCCACAAGGTCGATTCTCATCGCACTGAAGCTATGTTAGCCTTGGGTTGTCTTCTTGGTGGGAAGAGGTGGAACAAAGCGGAGACAAGACCATGGCCCGACGCACCTTGACCTTTCTCTGTTTACAGTTGGAACAACCGTTACGGGACTTTTTGTGTCCAATTCGCGGCATATTGGGCAGAGGCGAGGGACACAACTAACTGGGCCGGTTTCTTTCGATTATCGACTCGAGACTGCAGAGATAATGGACTGGGGCGCCCGAATCCGAAGCCGATCGACCGCTCATACATATTTATCTATCCTTAGTGTGCAGACTGGGTTGCGGAGATTTGATTTCTAAGAGCCGCGGACTTTCTAAGCTTAGACAGTGGGTGAATCAACACCCGCGACAAAACCTAGTCAGTGCTAAACTTACACGTATTCGACGCAAGGGCCACCAGTCATTCGAACATCAGCCAAGACTTAAGCCAAGAGATTGACAACTTCAAGACATGAGATATTAATATCGACAGAACAGCAAGCATAGCCTCAATGATGTTTACGAAGAGCCTGCGGGAAGAGATATCGATATCAGAAAAATCGTTGATAGGTCATCGAAGCCAAGGAAGGATATGCTACTAGCAACGCGATGTTTATATAACCATGAGGTGGAACATCATGCCAAATTTCCATTACTTTATCCAGGAAAATACCTATTATTGCAACAACTTCGGTTTCTCGTCAAAGACACCATAGAAGAGTGCTTCATTGTCTGAAAAAAAGTCTATACTTCATCTTCGAGGTCACCCAACCATGGACTCACCAACAGATAACAGCCCCGGCGAGTTCGTCTTCTACCACTACGACCCTTCTCTTCCGGCAGCATGCATCTTCATCGCCCTCTTCGGCATTTCATCCGCGCTGCACCTTTTTCAGATGATCAAACTGCGGGCCTGGTACTTTGTTCCCTTCTTGATTGGCTGCTGCTGTAAGTGACGCTTATCGACACAGATCCATGGCTCCATGGGCGCATCTTGCGATAGAAATACCTTTCACTTATTGATATTCCAATTTCACAGTTGAAATCGTGGGCTACATAGGCCGTGCATTATCCGCAACAGAAACCCCGAACTGGTCGACGACCTCGTACACGATCCAGAGCCTGACGCTCCTTCTCGGGCCCGCGCTCCTTGCTGCGTCTATCTACATGGTCCTGGGCCGTCTCATTCGCTTCCTTGAGGCCGAGCACCTGGCTTTGATCAGAACAAAGTGGTTGACCAAACTCTTCGTCTTAGGCGACGTGATTTCTTTCGTGACGCAGGGCGCAGGTGTGTTCCTCTCCATCTCTTTAATAAGAGACTTCAGACCCGCGGGTAGTCGGGCTAATACATACCTTGAATAGGCGGTGCAATCCTGTCTAGAGCAAAATCCCTATCCGACGTCGACCTTGGGGAGAACATCATTATCGCCGGCCTCGCAGTTCAAATCCTCTTCTTCGGAGGCTTTATCGTCGTCACCTGTCTCTTCCACTATCGCATCAACCAAAACACCACTGATCCCTGCAACTCTGCCTCCTTGCGCTGGAGACCGTTCCTCTGGATTTTGTATGGCGCAAGTCTTCTGATCATGATCCGTTCGGTGTTCAGGGTTGCCGAGTACGTAACTGGTAGCAACGGAGCGCTGATGGCAAGCGAGGTGTACATTTACGTCTTCGATGCGGCGCTGATGTTCCTTGTTGCTGCCGTGTTTAATGTGTTCCATCCGGGTACCATTATACAGACAGAGAACAAGTTGACGGCCATCTCGGAGAGTAGCGTGCCTCTTGATTTGCAGACGTTTACTTAGGTGCTGTAGTTACCTGCTCCCTGGCGCTGAGCTTGGGTCAACGGCGGAGACCATGATACTGAACGCTCGTGAAAGCGGGGGATTTTCGTGGACATCGAGCGGTTCAGCAAAAACGTTCAGAATCTTAGCAATTGACATCACATGTGGGACTTGAGTTTGATAGACACGGATCATTACCTTCTACTTGGACCCTTGAACTGCAGTCTTGGGCTATTTTATGTTCATACAGTTTGCTCTCACGACCCGAAGAAGTCTCGTAGGCTCGTCAAGTCAACTCATTCCGTTTTGCTGTGTGGTTGCGGCACAGCAACAATCAGCCAGGGGTGGGTGGCTTACCCCTCAAGGACCATACACCTCATCGATTGTTCCTCGCCCTTTCAGCGTGTTTATCCGTGTCGACTCCAGCAAAGTCGTTCAAGATTGAAATTCCTCGTCCCAGAGACACCAGCACTCTAAATCCTCTCATCAGGGAAGCAATCCATCGAGTGACATATGTGAGCCTGACGCCATCTGGAAGTCCGTCTCTTCCCGATGTTATCGTCTGCTGACAGGGAAATCTTTTCGGGGGAGGATCACTATACGAGTGCCAATTAGGCTCCTTCAGGCAGGTGAACCGTCAGCCTAAAGCGCCGAGAAACATGCTTGGGGAACGTTAAGACCGGCTACTCCCGATTGTCCGGGGTCTCTGTCCCAGTCTTACAAGTTCGAGACTGCCCTGCTGCGAATCCTTCGCCAAAGGGGACTTTTGTCGGGTCGTCGCGGTCTCGCGGTGGTCAGTCATTCTTGGGCGCGACATCTTACTGTCGAATGTGGTGGACTATCAGCGAGGCGGTAAACGTCGAAGCAAATCGAGCCGCAATCGCTTCATAAGAATACTCAGCGACCGGCGATTCTGTCGCTTGAGCCTGCGATGAACTCTCTGATATTCACACCATCCGCAACGACCATGGAGCTTAGACACAGCCAACAGGTCATCCCGAACGACGCATTTGCCTGTTCCGATGATTCACCGTGGAGCTCCGTGCTGTGCTATCAAGGCTATGACCTCAGTCCTCTCCTTGAGGAAATCATCTTCTCCATCATTCCTTGCTCAATCGCATTGGTTTCGGGGCTTCATCGTCGACACCAGCTCCAGGCTAGAGCAGTGGTCTCACATGGACACATCCGCCCAGTGGCTAACCTGGTTAGCCACATCGCTTTAAGCTTCCTTTTACTTTTGATTGCACCCGCCTCAATCGCCATCGTACCAATCGCTGTTGTTTTGACTT